GGCTTACTATCGATTGCCTCCATTCCAGTAACATTCATCTTCAGCTAGCTGATTATGCAATGCACTTGATAATAATATTGCAGCATAAGGGCATGAAAATAAATATTCGATTATATATATATATATATATATATATATATATATATATTCTTGTTTAAAGTCTCTTTGAAAAGCAGTGCACATAGAGTAACTCATTTATACTTTTCAGGTTACATTTTCGTAACCAAATATAGATGTTTTAGTGAGTGCCTTAGTTTGGAAATCATTGGTAGTCAAGCTGCTAGTTGAAGATTTTGGATACAAGTAAAAATACCTTCCGAAGGTGCATTTGCCTGTGTCAAGCTTAAAAAAAGTTACTTTTTATTTCCATATCGTCATTAGTTTCAGCACTGAAGTGTCCCTAACAGAAGTTACATATTTACCAAGCTAAAATATTCCCGGCAGCTACATTACACATAAGTTTTAATGGATGAATTTGTATCAGACTAATTTATAACTCTCAAATAAGAGATGTCATATTTTATCCTCTACCATTATTTAGATCCCTGAGATCAGCTTAGAGTGTAGGAACTCAGTTTGAGGTGCAGAGTATAGGATATTGGATTGTTCGACGTATTTCTGAGCTCTACTGACAAGCGAAATGATACAAGTTACTAAGTTTTTTTCTAAACTTACAATTATCTTGTTGATGATATTGCTTGTATTATCCCGTCGCTGAATGAAACAAACTGATCTGTCTCAGGTTCGAGTTTTCTTGGGAACAACACCGCTCACTGGGAGACAGGTACACCAGGCTGACGAGCCCCAAAGTGAACTAAACGCGAGTCTTAGATTCTACTGCTAGCCCCCATCCATCGATTATTTCAAAATATTCAGTTTTTCACAAGTTTAGGTATTATTGTCTTACTTTCAGTCATTTGTAAGAGGAGTCAAAATTTAGTTTTTTCTAGACACGTATATCCCTAAAGGAGATAAACGAACCATTTGTAGATAGTATACTGCAGCTACTTCACCATAAAAAGACATTCAGTGAGGATACGCGAAAAGTCTCAAGAGGTATTGAATCTAGGTGATAGACAGCGTTGTAAAAGAAACCGAGTAATGATGATGCTTCTCTACAGGACTGACTGGTTACCATCTACCTGGAATGAATCCATAACATCTGTAGTGTCCACGCTCCTGCGTAGTGGTGTGTATGTCTTGATTTAATCTGGTAGCAATATGAGAATATTTAAAACGTATTCACTAATACATTTTCTTTCTTATTCCGTTGGGTTGTTTGAAAGATAACGCTAAATAGAAGTACCATTGTCTATTTCTTATAAAGGTTTTTCTCCGCTCGAAAGATGTTAATATAAAAGTATACTCTGTGTTAGGGATGACGTTTCTTAGCATCTGTAGTTAAGTTAATTAACACCATATTACGCTTACAATAAGTCACAAATTATCAATGACATAAAGTTTTCTGGTATTATTATTATTTCTCTGGAAGGAAATAAAATACTGTTCACAAAAAGAAGAGCGCTCCACCTCACTGTTTACTGAGGCTGGTATTCCCCAAGGTACTGTCCTTTCCCCCAGTCGTTTCACTAATTTACAAAACAACTTTCCACCCAGCTATCTGCATTAGAAAGCTAACAGTATCTGGTATAACTCAAACTCTTCACTTGTGTTTTATAAACTGTTTCATCTTACCTATTGTAGTCTATTATTCCCTTTCACTCTTTCCCGGGTTGCTAGAAAAAGACTATGCTGTATTGCGTAGAACGTTAAAGACTGTCAGAAGAACTAGTCATGTACCTTGTAGCCTCCTAGTTAAAAAAATTGTGGACAAACATATTAACTCATGTAAATATCTGACATGAGTTATTTTGTCAGATGAGCGGCATCCTCTTCGCTCGAGGCTCTCTGCCTTTTGGCAATCTGGAAATACCAGTAGTAAGTATATAAGACTTTATACATGTACAACTAAGTATAAAACTACAATACTGTACGTATTTAGTTTGTGTACTGTGCGAGAACGAACATATCAGAAAGGAACCAGCTAGTCAGCTTTTGTAGTTATAAATGAACAAATAAACATTTTACTTGAATTTTGAGGGAGTTGTGCGAATTTGGAAATATTTCAAGTTGTTATTCATCGTATACTGACATCAGTTGGAGGAACAAAGGAAACCTGGGAGCATAACAGGACAAAACAGCTGACCAGTGCCCCCAGGTTTCTTTTGTTCCTCCAACTGATGTCAGTCTGCGATGAATGACACCTTGAAATATTTTACTCTCATATTATGAATTTAACATGAGAGAAGCCTGTTGACAAGCATCATCTCATCGATATTTGTCGAAAAACCTACAAAATGTTAGGCGTCCTGAATGGTACAGAAGCGAGGTCAGTAAACCCCATTAAAAACATCAAAAAATCTTACCAGTTATGGAACGATCAAGAAAATATCACCTTTCAACATATACACACTGTCAAAGTTCAGATCGTTTCCAGTCAGAGTTTTTAAAATAATAGGTGGCACCAAGGTTGCTCTAAATTCCAAGTTCGCTTTTCAAGCAGTCGACATGTTTAAGTCGTCTTCATAGTGCCACGTTACACCAGATAAACGTCCATTTTACCACAAATTCTTATACTTATCAATTTAGACATCAAATGAGCCCACAGTGATGATTTCGGGAATCAACAAGTTTCAACATAATCATCCAATCCAAGTAAATATCTATGTCCAAGCATTTCTCACTCTTCAAGTGTTACCGTTCACAGGAATACAGATATACACCATTAGAATTAAATGTTGTGGTGCAGACGAGTAAATATTTGAAGAACTGCAGACCGGTAGGTATCAGCTGCATAGTATTGTTGTGAATATGTTGCCTTTGAAGTCAATAGGTGAGTTCATCTCTTAGATTTAACTGTCTGTCTAAATTTTCGCTGCCATTGTGACCGTCCAGAAATCTGAATAGTTCGATGATAGATAAATGTTCATATGGTGACAGAGTCAAATGAATGAATATGACCGGTAATTCCTACCTATTACATAGTAAATTTTGTGGCAGAACAGTTCCATTCTTTTGAGAAACAATGGAATATTGAGAATTGGTAATATATACTTCTTATTTGAGTCTAATTGTCGCCAGTGAAGATTATCTGGGTGATGTGGGTTCTCAAAGTTTTTAGTTAAATCCTTTGATAGTAAACTAATTAAAGAGTACAGAGTTTGGGGTTATTAGTGTATGACGAATCTAGTTTTTAATATGATTGTTTGCCTAAGTTAACTCTGGATTTTCAAGGAAGTTGTAGACAGAGTAAATATTCTTATCTTTTATATATACAATTTCTACTTATTTATCCTGAGTGATGACTGAGGGTGAAATTGAAATTTGCATTGCAGCTGGATTCGAACCATCAACCATCGGGAATCCATATCGATGGTCTACCAACTGAGCTACGTGGTCCGACTGTTGACCAGATTTTTTTATTTCGCTTCAATCACAAGTGAGGCTTTGACCGGCTAACATGTGAATTCGTGACGTGTTGCTAAAGGTTAACCGTATTCACACTGGCTGCCCACCAGTCAGGACTTCTCATCGCAATCCAAATCTAACTGAATTCGAGAGGGGGAAGCATCATATTAGTTATCACTTTGACCACTATCTGAGGTGGTTGGGTTTAGCAGGTTTGTATTGATGATTGAAGCTGAAGTGAAAATTTGGACAGCATGCAGACGTCGTAGCTCAGTCGGTAGAGCATGAAACCGGAAATCCGGTGGCTGCTGGTTCGAATCCAGCCGTGGTCCAAATTTTAATTTCATCTTCAATTATCACCCAGTATCAATGCTAGTCTGCGAAACCATGGCTATCCCAGATGGTAGTCAAAATGATAATTCTACTCATATCATTTTGCTATGAATACATGTACACTGTCTCTGTACAACTAGTGCGATACGATATACTGAAAATTCTGTAGAGTATTCCCGAAACAGCTTTCAGAATAAAATTATTATTATCATTATTATTATTATATTATGATTTTGATCACAATATTTTCCAGCTTAAAAATTTGCCGCATCTACCACCTTTTCCTTCTTAGAAGCCTTTCATCTTATCTCATTATACCGACACAATGTTTTATCCTGATCCTGCGATCTTTGGAAGTAACATCACTCAACTGATTCGTCTATGTTTTGTCATTCAACAGAATAATAATGATTCAGTCTCACGTCTTGGTCTAAATCGTGTTAAGAACCCAACGGAAAATTAACCACCCTATGGATTGTGCAGTCATTTTTTTCCAATAAGTTATATTTCTTGTTTGAAGTCAGCTAGGAAAACACTGAAAACATTGGGGTATTGAATTGCGCTGCCCTGTCGTGACTCCATGAAGGGTACAACCCAAAACCGTCAGGTTGCATTACAAGGAGATTACCATTCCACCAGTAAACGGAAACTGAATTGTTCATTTTTCCTACTCTTATAGGTTTGCGATATGGAGAAGGCATATATACCGTATGTGTCCAGTTCAATAATATATGACACGCTAAAAAAAATTTGTACTCCATTCCAGAAATATCTTTCAGAATAAAGCCATTATTATCATTGTTATTCTGTTCAGTACTAAATTGGATATTCCAGTTACGATTCAAAGTTGAACGTGTTAAGTGAAAGTCACTCCTCGGTTATATTTTAATCTACAAATTTTCTTGTAATGGACCGTATGATGTACAATTCATGTGCTAGAAAGTATTTCAAATGGAAGGTTGTAATTTATCGAGATAAACTCCTGTCTTTTTTCTAAAATTTATTCCTATTTCTCTGTGTAAAAATGTTATTTGATGATGAAGGTTCCAATATTTCACATGATTTCAAAGCACAAAAATATCATGGAAACAAATAGTTTTTGAGTAAGATGATATCAACAAACACGACTAGATACAACTATTGAAAAATGTTAAATTCAAGAACAGATGAACAGTATTAAAATGACATTAACAACTTACCATATCTTTAACAGATAGCTCTCTTTGTAGAAAAATTTCTCCACTATTTTGTCGTATTTTGAAGAGATCTTCCACAGAATGATTCCCAGTGAATGAATACTTAACTCTTCCATTAACTCCAACATCCTTGTCGCTTGCTTCAACTCGTGTCACCAAATGTCCTGGTACATCATTGTAAGATATTTCAACCTGTCAGGAAAGTAGATATATAGTTGTGAATTGTAGAATGAAACCTGAAGTGACTGAGGTTCTGTATTAGTGAAACCAACATGAAAAGTGGTGTGGAAAAAATCGTGTTGCTTATTTGACTTGAGAATTGTTTTCTTCTGTAAAAAAAATTGCTTATTCCATTCCAAACGCTTTGAAAGTACACGAACTGGTTACTAGTGAGAAACTCATGTAGTTGTGTGGTTTTTTTCTGCTTAGCAATGATGAGAGTTTACTAGGCAAGTATGAAATATGGCAACTAGGTTAAATAACGCTACAACATGGTGCACGGTATTTCTGCTTTAGGTGTTAGGAGTCTCTAGCTGTAGTACTCAAATCCCTTGAGGAACACCAGTTTTCGCATCGTTTTAAATACACTTTATTTCTGAATGCCAATAAATACGAAACAAAGTTCATGTAGGACTGTCTATCGATTCATTCATTCTGAACACCTAACATGAAATCTTTTAAAGTAGCCTAAATTATACTTTGTCTGAAGACTAAACTTAGAACAGTAGAACCCTTGGAAAATCTTCAGTTGTTTCTTGATAGGAATGCTAAATTACTTCAAATAATCACCTGCTACAATGGTCAATTTCGTCTTCATCAACTGCAAAGATGGAGAGTAAAAATATTGAAATTATTCAGGAAGGGTTTATAAGCTGAATGTAAAAGATGGATGGTTGGGACATTCCATGTTATCTTGAATCTAAACATGTTGCAAATAAAAATCAAGATATAACTGTATTAACAACGTGGATCATGTATCCAGATAAAACTGACCGGAGCTAAATTTCATAAATATGCGTTTGCGCACTTAAACTCATTCAACTTGTTTTCCAATGTTCACTCATACCCACTTATACCCCCATGTGGAGACTGTGAAAATGGTTGTTCCTAAGACTAACTTTAAATGTCACCCTGACAACTGCTAAATTGACCAATCAAATTTCAGAATTTTATCTGGAAAGTAAGTTTTTCTCAGAATCGAAGGACTTGATTGGTTATTTCAACAGTTACTAGGATGGCCTTTAAAATCACACTTTTCATAGTTCCTTGTACTAAAAAGAATGCTTCTTCTTATCATTTCAGTCACTTTGTATACATTTCTGAATATTTCTAAAGTTGAGCTATTTTACTTAGATATACATTACTGAATGCACTACCAATATGACTGTTGCCGCCGTTTGTGTACAAGTGCACACTCATTTGCATGTTGTATTCTTCTCTCTTGTACTTTCAATACAACAATAAAACTTGGGCACTTTAGTAAAATGTAATTCCAATTTAGTTCATTTATTACGTGCATCATACAGTAGAAACCTCGTCCGGTTTACTAGTTCACTAGTTACTAGATGGTCCTAAGCCCACAGAAAGAGGGATCGTTAGGGATGCAGCTAGCAACCCTACCCCGGAAAACTAATCCAGTCGCTAAACAAACTCCAAAGCACAAAGGAAATATAAAAAATAAAAATAAAACTATTCCTTTCTGGAATCGGGTAGACGAAATGACACCAGTTAGTGAAAGCCTGCGAGAACCCAATTGGCCGATGTGTCTTCTCTCTATCCATCAAAGCGAAAGTAAACATGGGGACATGGATATCCACACTATGTTTGAAACTGGCTGGCAGGCAGGCAAGGCTGCCCATATTGGCAAAGAGGTGAGGAGATATAGCATAGAAGTGTTTGGAATCTGTGAGGAATCTGCAGATGGAATGGGAGTGGACTCTCGAAACTGTCAACTGGAGAAGAGTCAATAATCTACTCCGATATCGTCACCCTGACGACAACCACGAGCACAGCATACTGAGTTTTCCAGTGGCTATCATGATGTCCCCAACAGTATCGAAGGCTCACTGTGATGCAGTGGAAATCAATCTCCTCAACGGTCAAGATGATGACAGCAAGATGGATTCAAGTGAAAAGGAAGGAAGGAAGGAAGGAAAGTCACAATCACACGATGGTATGCTATGCACCTAGTAAGAATGTGGATGAAGAGAAGAAGGAGGAATTCTACAGACAACTGTAATCAGTGCTGGACAAGACACCACTCCAGTTGGTGACATCAAAATTCATTCTAATGGGTAATATGAATGCGAATCTGGGAGTGGACAATACAGGAAGAGAACTCATCCATCATGGGTCGAGAAGCATTCGGTAAAATGATGGATGAGAACGGAGAACTGTTTGCAGATTTCTGCACATTCAATGACTCGGTGATTGGAAGGACTGTGTACAAAAACAAGGATATTCACGAACTGACATGAATTTGATTTCATTGCACTAAATATCAGATCGACTTCATCTCAATGTGAAGAAAGTGGAGACGCAATCTACTGGACACAAGATCAGATCAAGAAGGGAAGCAGATGCAGGTTCACACCATTCACTATCTAGTGCAAGGAACCTGTCTTCAAAATCAAGTTAAAAGCCTTCAGACAAGTTGATGATAGACCACAGTTCAAGTTCAACATCCAGAACACAAACTGAAGGACGAAACTTCAAAGGACTTCTTCACGTCTACTATCAGGACAAAATGGGAGAAGAGGAAGCAAGACAAGGAATGAATCTCGACGGACACATGGAAGATGATGGAGGAGAGGAGGATGATGAAGCAGAAGATGAACCAGCGCAAGGATGTACAACGAAAAGAGGAACTGAACGCAACATATAAAAGGCTAGACTGGACAAAGAAATGAAGAAGAGTGCGCACAATGACAAAACACGCTTCTACGACACACTTGTGAGTGAAGCGGAAAAGACTGCTGGAAGGAGAGACCTGACAACACTATATCAAATAACCAGATAACTATCTGGGATGGAAGAGACTAACACAGATGAAATCAATGAAGGATAGTGAAGGAAACTTAGTTGCTCCAAAAAACAAGGGAGACGGTGGGTTGACCACTTCAAAAAGCTCTTGGATCGACCACCACCTGAAACTCATCCAGAAATACTACCAGTAACCACAGAACTACTAGTGAACACAAGCTCTCTGACAAAAGCAGAAGTGAAGTCCTGAAAGCCATAAAGCAGCAGGACCAGTTAGAGTTCCTCCAAAAGCACTGAAAACAGACTCAGAGACAATAGTGGACATGCTCACACCACTACCGCACAAGGTTTGGAAGGAAGAAAAGGTGTCTGCCCATTGATTGGTAGGAGGGCTACCATATCAAACTTCCAAAGAAGAGTGACCTAAGTCTTTGCAAGAACTGGCGCGGAATCATGTTGTACCCCTGTCCACCCGTAGCAAAATATTGTGACGTTTCATCCCGGAGAGACTAAAAAATGCTCTCCATTCAAAGTTTCGACCGAAGTAGACTGGTTGGCTTCAGAAAGAACAAATCCTTTGCGCATCAAATTGCAACGCTACGCTACTCATCATCATAGAAGAGAGCATACAATGCCGGTCAACTCAACTCAACCTCAACTTCATCGATTTTGAAAAGGCTTTCGATGGTGTCGACTGAGCAGTAATTTAGCAGGCAGTGGCTTCAACAATGCGGTTTCAGTGCCATAAACCTCTATCAACCTCATTCAGCAGCAGCTTTGTGCTATATGAGGATGCTACATGCCAACTGATTGACAATGGAACGTTCAGTGATGCCTTTGAAGTGAAGACAGGCGTTGCAAAAAACATTTCCAGCAAACTGCAGACATCATACATGAACAGCTGCCGCCTACGCCCACTCTATACTGAAGGTCAGATCAGATGGCTAGAAAGAATAACCAATAAGGGACTCCGGCCTGATAACGAACCAACCAAGAACTTATCGCCCAACAAATATGCAGAAGAAAGTGAAGATGGATTGGATCGGAAAGGATACAGACTGAGACTGTTTGAGGATATCATGCACCAGGCCAATTCCTCCAGTGGAAGCAAAATGGGAAATGACGAGTTGGGCGTCCAAGGGTGACGTGGGGGAGATCATGTGAGGGCGAAATGAAAGTTGTGGGCAGTCGTGGAGCGAGGTTCAAAAGACTGTGGAGAACAGAGTGAAGTGGCGATGTGCTACTGAATCTTTATATTCCACTAGGAACCCGCGGAACAAATAATAGTAATAAATGATAAGCATACAGTAGAACAGTATTAGTTACTGGATTATGTTTCAGACAAAATTCATTGCTCCATAGTCACATCAGGATAACTCCTTAACCTGTAGATATAGGTTACATACTTGTCCTTCTCTAGCTTTCTTTGTGATATAAACAGATATACATTTGTAGATGAATATTAAGATTTTTCACCTATCTGAAACAGCTACTGAGTCATTCCTCCCGTATACGTTTGGCCTTGATTCTATAAACAGAGATCCGGCCATCCACCTCTCACTCCGCTCTTCTGGGTTAGTTATAAGAATTGTCACTCTGCTCCATCCTCTAGTGTTTTCGTATGTGGTTGTTTGAAGGGTTAGAGCCGAAATTCTTTCTAGATTCCTCCTCTTTCTAGGAATTTTAGATTTTGATAAAGCTAAGTTCTTGTGTCCGGATAGCTCGACCAAACCTGGTCGACTAGTTTGACCTATATATTTGACCTGGCAATCGCTGCATCTGGTTTTGGAAACTAAATTTTTTTGTCTAATTGGATCAGTAGGACCGTTTAACCTTAAATACCACTCCAATCACAGACTTACTGAGAGTTTTTCGCAACGCTTCCAAGGTGCCTTCTATTTCTGGTGACACTGCTGGGTTTTTCAATTCTCTTTCCGCAGTATTGCCACTATTGTTATTATTATTATTGTTACTGTCAACTACTTGGCTACCACTATTTGTCATATATTTCTTACGATTACTAGGGAATTATTAAACTAATTTATGAGAGTAATGGTTGATGAGTAAGATGTTTTTAATGCATCTGACTTCTTGTCTTAAATCTTCCAGTTCACTGATTAGTTTCTTAGCTGAGGATTGTTTTAGCTGATATGATTTGCAAAACGTATTGAGGATGGATTCGTAAATATCAGAAACAAGTAACCACCTACAGAAACACATACACACACAGCGACTGCTGTTAGCACTTAATAATTGAGTCGATGAAAAATTTTTATATATTTTATTAGTCCCTTGGGTTCCTAATGGAACATAGGGCTTCAGTAGCAAGTCTCCAGTGAACTCTGTTCTCTGAAATCTTTTGAACCTGGCTCCACGACAGCCCACAAGCTCTCATTTCCTCCTCACACGATCTCCTCCTTGTCACCCTCACCTTGGAAGCCCAACTCGTCGCTTCCCATGGGGGTTCCACTCGACGGCCTGACGCGTGATGTCCCCAGCCGGTCTTCTCAGTGTATGCCCAATCCATCTCCGCTTCCTTCTGCGATCAAAAAATACTTCACTCAAAACACTTTTCATCACTTATATCTCACTTTCTTTCAACTTCTTTTCAAGTTTTAGGAAGAATGTTTTTGTTATCTATTAGTAAAATGTTGGGGAATGGCAAGACGGCAAGTAAACAAATGATATTTAGATATAATAATTATTATGTTGAAGATTCAAATAAACGGGAACAAGGATCAGTTTAAGGTTATAGGTATCAGCTACAGGTGGTCTTACATCAAACAGAATTCATTTCTTTTGTATGTTACAGAACAACTTATAATGAGCGGTCTCCTGAAAAGCCTAGTTCCAGTCCCTTGTGAGACAGATATGAATCTTCATGCAACTCTTACCTTTCAGTAATCTGTACAAAGCTAGAAGAACAATAGTAGTAGAATTAGGATGCATGTATCTCGTAGATTCTCCTCAGCTAATTTACAACCTATAAAATACAGTGTTTATGATGAGCAAACGTATACGAATTGAGATGGAAGGTAACCGAGGTTTAGATTAATCGATATTGAAGTTGTTAAGATTAATCGAAGGTTAACTATTTACAAAGTGACAGAATGAATATTCAAGATGATACATGGAAAAAAAATTATGTAAATTATGTAAACTTCAACCTGGAGGTTCGTAGAGATTTATTAATCGATTTCAGGTTGAAATTCATCATGGACTGATATCGGTTGGAGGAACATTTGAAACCTGGGAGCACTGGACAGCTGTTTGCTCCTAGTAAGCAGCTCCTCAACAGTGGACACCCACAACTCAGCCTTGCCAGGAATCGAGCCCAGGTGTTAAACTTGGGCACTGTGGTAGAATTTAATTCCATATTAGATTCGTTTAGTTGATTTAAAACATACAGTGATATAGCATTATTGATTATATCACTGCGTGTTATAAATAAAATAAATAAATCTAATATGAAATCGAGCTCCAGGTTCCGTAACCAGCAGGTTACCATTGAGCCACTGGGTTGGAATTCAACGGTCCATATTTTCAACTTCTGTCAGTTCGCAATATATCGTGACCTCTATCCACTACCATCCCCAAGTAACAGTCCTCATGTTTGACTTGGTTCACTCTCCTGGTCTCTGCAATACTTGAGATTGAGTCCATCCAGCACTAATTGGTGAGTAGCTGCGAGAGGTGATTCCCCAAGTTCCAGTGAGCAGTCGTGACCAGTGCGGCAAAGCAAGGCGAACCTTAGAACAGTTACTGAATGATGGATACGGGTTACGTTATATCATGAACTGACAGAACCAGGAAATATGGACCACTGGATTTCGGCCCAGTGGCAACCAGCTGGCCGCAAAACCTGAAGGTTCTGGGTTAGATTCCTGGAGGGCGGATTCATATGTACACACCGCTGAGGAGTCCCATATTAGGAAGAACCAGGTGTCCAGTGCTCCCAGGTTTCAAATGTTCTTCCAAATGATTTCAGTCCACGATGAAAACCAACTTGAAAAGTCACTAGATTTCCACAAACCCCTAAATTAAATTAACCTTTCTTTATCCTGGTAACTGTGTATACATTCGCATATGTATGCATATAGTTTCTCTTCTTATTGGTTGCTTCATCTCCTCATATTTATTACTTCCTGACTGTTATTCACTTAGCCTAATGCTTTTCTAGTTTTTTCATGCAACTAAGTTACCTACTAGCTCTTTGACAACCCCTCATGTTACACTACTGTCTGTTTGCCTTCCCTCCCTTTCTCCACAACTACAGAATTTTCTATCTCATCAGATATAAATTGCTATCAATTGTGACTTAGACTTATGATTACTAATCTTGTGTTTCCCTCACTCATTGACCACTTTATTGTCAATCCTGAATGTTGAATCTTCATTTATTTCTGTAAATTTCATTTCAATTGAAGGCTGTTTGCAGCTGATGACATGGCCGTGAAATAGAAAGAATTCATTTTAAACTGTTAATGTTTTTGTTCATACTTTATCCGAATCTGTCATAGGAACTAAGTAAATGATAAATAAATTCACAGAAGATTGTGGGTTCATTCCCCTTGGCTGAAGCACAGGAGACAGGCATATTTTAGGCTAAATGAGTTATCATTCAGACAGAAGCTTCATATCAGCTCATCACTCACGAATATAGATTGGATACAATGTTAACAATACACAACCATATATTTCTGGCATATGTTTATGGTTAATAATGTGGATGTTCAGAGTAATTTGTTCTCTGAACTAAGACTTTAGTTAGCAAGCGCTTAATTGCCATGCTAGACATTATCATCAGTGGAGCAGAGCTCCACAACAAGGAAGGGAAGTTCTGTACACTGATGAAAATAGTGTCTATGGTGACTTTGAAACGTTTTCCAACTCAAACCCTAGCTCATAGGATGCCTTACTCTGAATACTTGACTCTGTGTAGAACATAGGATGTATAATGATGAACAAGGTGAATACTTCAACATTATACAAGTAGACTTGCATCTTTTGCCGAGTAGATCATATTGATTCCCCTTAAGCGTGGTTATTTTAGTCTTTCAGTACAAAAATCATCATTAGTTTAATCTTCTTGGTTAATATAACCTAAAAGGAACAATTCATGGTCTCTTTACAAACTATGTGGCTTACGCTGACATTTCGAACAACCGAGCAGTTATGCATCGTGGGTCTAGGCATGATGTCAACTAAACTCTTATAGTTACTTTAATACATCACAAAATAAAACCTGAATAAAAAGAAACTTGTCTGAACTTTATTTATTTATTTATTTAGATAAAATGAAAACGAGCAACTAATTACTTGATCAGTTCCATTGTCAAATGGTGGCCTCTGAAACACTGGTTCATTATCATTATTATCCAAGATGGTAATATGAACTTGAGCTGTAGCTGTTAGCTTTTTTGCCACTTGTTGTGGAGAGTCAGTGGCTATAACTTGAAGTAAGAATGCCGGATGTGTTTCACGATCAATTGATTGAGTTGTAGTTACGTAACCATCCGCTGTTACCTGTTGTTTTTTGATAGAAAATAAAAAAAAATTAGGGATTATTAAAATAAATGAGCTTGAAAAAAGCTTTGTATGCTTAGATTGACAACATAGATTTCAAAATAAAGCACCTGACAAATGCTAGGTAAGGGATGTGAGAACTCCAGAATGTGGTTTCCTAGAAGATAAACCACAGAACCTCACGTCCACGATCGCCATTTCTGAAGTAGTTTACTAGCTTTGTTCTACATTAGATTTGTTTATTTGGTTTATAACAGTGTGATACAGGATTATTTACTGGATGATGTTCCCAGCACAAATCATCATTGTTCATAATCATATCAATAAAATCACACTCCTTTTGACGTCTCATTTTAATAGTTCTATCACGTTATATTCTTTACTATGATCAGTATTGAAAATTTCCATTTTTCTGGTATATATGTTGCTTTATTCATGTTACATGTGTTGGGTGGATGTTTATTCGATGAACAAAAATTCAGTAATCAACCTCTCTCTCCTCCCACCCTATTTTGGGGTTGTGTTAATGCATGCAATGCGATAGCCGAGTTTTCTCTCTAGATTATTGATCTTGTTCCGGTTCGTCATTCTATATTTACCTAATTTCCTATGTTTCACTAATCTGACTGACCGAAACCTTCTACTCTGACCTATTTACTTGATCTCACAGTCATTGGTAGACAAAACTACTTTTCTTAATTGGTTCAGTCGGATCCTTAAGCCAGCCAGCAAAGCTTAACTCTGTGTTTGTAGATTTAAATAACACCTTAATTCCAGCCTTGTTGAGAATCCTATGTAAAGTTTATCATGTTTCATCCTTATATAGTAACACAACGGAGGATGTGAACTCATTTCTACTTGTGTTGTCGCCATTATTCGTACTCGTATTACTGACATTACTTCGTTTCTTACGTGTTCGTACAAACTTCCTAATAAATTGTAGAAGATAATTATAACCATTAGCGCTTCTTTTATGTGTTTCAGTTCTTTCTTTAGGTCCTTGCTCTGACGAGACAGTTTCATGTAGATGATAGAATCCAGACCGCCATCTGTCCTTCTTTTTATCCTGAAATCCAGTAGAAGTGATTCTCCTTGTTCAATTTCCACCTTGTAAGTGAACTGGATTGGGTCTACTACTGAATTTATATGCGTGAGGAAAGTGCCAACGTGCTCCAATTTCAACACTGTAAATGTGTCATCCACATGTCGCCCCCTTATATCTTAGGTGTAGGACTAAACGTTCGTAATGCCCTGTTAGCTATTAAACGTCATAACATTTCATCATTCATTTCAATACACGTGGAAAACTATGGACATGAGTTCAACATTGACAATGTAGGAATCTTAGGGAAAGGAAACACAAAGAATATCAGAGAATTTCTAGAAGCTTAGCATCCAGGTCAGTCAGTCAGCAGTCAATAGATGTGTAGATATGGACCCAATCTATCAACTAGTGAGAAAAATGATAAACGACAGAAAGATCAGAAGTCAAGCAGGAAAAGAACCAGCTAAAAAATTAGTGCAGTCAATGATACAATAATCAAAGGAAACAACCAATTACAAACTAGTCGATCACGGCAGCTACTAAATCACTTATGGAGAGGTACTGATAGCTCACTTTATACTGAAGTTAGTGCTGATGATAACGTCTAGAAAGACGATGAAAGCTCCATGATTAAACAACCTAGCTCAGAGAACACAATGCAGTCAAAACCATCCATCTGAGCTACAAATATTCTCAAGCGGTTCAAAACCTATCCTGTCCTGCTTGATCCTCTTTTTCTAACCTCAACATTTTTCATACGGTGATTACACCATATCTGTACATGGCTACAAAGACACCTCCGATAATGAACCTGTAATTTATCCCATCTTCTACTTTTAGTGGTCATTTTTAAAATCCATACAACAGGACATGGTGGACTGCAGTGTAACATACTCGTCTTTTGATTGGTAGGTGGACATCTCATCGGTGTTGGAGATAACGCGAATTGGCGAATGTCAAACGAGCCTTCTGTATGCGAGCTGAAATTCTGTCAACATCTAGCCCGCTCTAGGTGATGTGATTTTCCAAATAAGTGGAATGTTCGACGCATTCCATCATTCCACTCCTTATTCTTAAACTATGAGAAGCTGATCATCAATGAAGTACCATCTTACATTTGAAATGTGCGAAAAACATGGCGAATATAGATTTCTGTTCAATGAGTTCGGAAAATTCTGTATTTTCTCAGCATCCTCCTCTTACAGGGCGACATCATCTGTGTACTCCAGGTCCATCAAATAGGATACACGGAGTATAATAATCTCTGCGAAGTCAGAGGTGCCTAAGGCTATGTCCATTAGTACACCTATAACGAAGGTAAATAGGAACGGTGATTGTGAGCATCCCTCGCGGACACCACTAGTTGTCGTTCAACCTAAGCACGCTAATCCAGGTTTGAATGTTGTCTGATTTTCTTGAGCTTAGACGTCAGATAACTATAAGCAGTTAGATCTTGGATATGATGCTAGTCAAGCTTATTTCTGGATGGTCACAAGAAGACTTCTATTCTTCTTTGTAGACTATAATTACCAATGAAGTGAACCATTCCGATTTCCGTCCACTACCTAATACCTCCGTTACCATACTGAATAATTTCCTATCTCCATCCTCAAGAGCTTTAGATGGTAAAACGGCAGATTCACTTGTCTTGCATCGTTTCGGGTTAGAAACAACCTTCTCTAATTCGAGAAGAGTTGGAGGATTGACATCTACTTCCCATTCAGATTCAAGCTAGATATTGGGAAACTAAAGTTTTATTGTAAGCCAGTTAAACTGAGCCCCAAAGTGTTCTGCCCTTGTTTCAACCAGTCTGTCATGAGAGATTATCCCTGGCTTTCATTTTTGGTGATCCTCTTACTAACCATCGTCTTCCTACTCCCAGACTAACTCCTAGATATGACGATCTGGAGTCTAAAAACCAGGATAAAACTGTTGTTTATCTCAAAGCTGTATTATATATATGGCATTTGCCCTTACGGTAAGCAATAAATATTTGTTCAGTTGTCATAATAAAGAACCAAGTCGAATAACTGGTGTATTAGAAATTAAATACAAATCAAACTGAACGGAGACAAGAAGATCACTCACTCGACTAGTGAACCAAAAGTCGATTAAACAGTCACTTAGCTGTTTCACCTCAATGCATCGTTTCAATGTTAAACAGCTACTCAGGATATAAGCGTGCTGCTGATTCAATAAGTTATAAAAGTACCACAAAGCATACTACCAAGAATACTGGACAGAATATAGTAACGGAAATTAAGTAAGAATTTGGTATTTCACTATGTCTGTGTATCAGTTATCTCATATTTCATAAACACATGTTTCTGGTGGTGTACACCAATTGATCACCAATGTATAACTGATGTATTCGTCTAGTTCTTACTGGTCAGCACTGATCAAAATTCACCAAGTTCAAAATCTAGCTACTTAGCTAAATGATACAATACTGTAGTGTACTGCCGTTTACCGTGAAGTACTAAGAATCCGTCGTCAGGAAAACCTATCTGACATTGGTTTCGTCTTTGTTTGGACCCATCAGCGCGAATTATGGGCAACCATTAGGATTCTGATGCCTTCTTGATGACTCGAACCCCTATAAGTCATCACTAAAGTCAGTGACTCCGTCACTAAGGTCAGGACATTGGTAGCCTACAGGTCACTGATTTGTTCTAATTATTCAGTCTTATTTGAAACAGAATTTGAGTGACGAGATTCTGGCCCAGTGATTCATAGTCAACGTGTTCACTGTGAATCCCTAACGTCCTGAGTTCTATCTCTGGTAGGTGTGCACTCCTGAGGACTACCACAGTAGGACGAAACAGCCGCTGAGTGCTCCAAGATTTTCAATGACCCTACAATTGATATCATCTTATGATGGATACAATCTTGAAATCAATAAACCACTACATACTTGCGAAATGAAATAAAATCAGAAGTCTATTGATGCTCTGAATAAGCTTTGAACTCCTTAAATGCAAAATAATTCTTCAAGACTGGTTTACTTTGTTATCTAGCGAAAGGATGAAATAAAGACCACCCAGATGTGTTGACCACCACTCATTGAAGAAGATTCTCCTAATTTGATTGGCTACATGTTGATGAAACTACTGGTGCCTATACAAAAGTGCTGTGGAGCCGTTTCCAGGCACCAGATATCTTGACGTACGAATATTTAGTAGGCTACACAGTACTTGACTCTTTTAGAGTCGGTAACTTTGAAACAGAGCCCTTTTTAGGTGGAATACATGGTCATAAGTAATGAAATAAGATGTACTTTTGAAGAGTGTGATGTAGCCATTAGGTGAAAAGTTTCAAGGCCGTATATAGAACAAAGAAGGTGACCAGTAGCTGAAACCGTCAGTCTCCATCGCTGGAGTCAGTTAGGATAGGCGATACAAATAATCACAAACCTGGAATGGATTGTCAGCTGATTGGCTAGTGGGATCCATTGAATACACTAAATGTGCGTTTAAGCCTATATCACAGTCTGTTGCTTTAACTTGACCAATTACATATGGTTCAGTTGAATTCACTTTCAATTCCTCATCAATTGAAAAATGATAATTCATATGTGTAAATATTGGTCGACAGTCATTTATGTCAATCAGCGCAACTTCTACATGCGTAGAACCAGATAAACAGGGTTGACCATTATCGTATGCATTCACCTAAAATGTAAAGAGAACCAAAATTAAATTGAACCTGAGGATTACCAGGTAAATGATTCTTTAACTATGTATATTAAAGCGAGATATTACCAGCATACTGGATGCGATTTCTTGGTGCTCCAGATGTATTTCAGCGTGGCACATAGTCTGTCCAATAACTGCAGAAAAATTAATTAGATCCTAATAAAGTCGCACAACTCACTAATAAATCTTACATAGTTGTTGGTGGTGGCTAGCAGTTAAATCCAAGACGCGAGTTTCGTCCTGCTCAGGACTCGTCAGCCGGATTTGCCTGCACCCTAGTGAGTGATGTTTTTCCCACAGCGACTAGAACCCATTACTCATCGCTTCAAACACAAAAACATCATCTACTAGGTGACTGAGGCATGAGAATTATCTCCTATACAACGGGTATAAGTCATTGGTATTTATTAATGATAACTGATCCACCATGACAACAAGAAATTACAAGCGTAAAAAATAACAATAGTTCTGATAATAATTACGTGACCATACAGTGAACGATATAATTAAAAGGCTTGCATGTCAACATACAATTCATTGAATTCCCTCATGTTCCAAGTATAATATCATGGAACAGTATGACTATTTTATAGTTTAACCCTTGCTGTGCTCAAGCATCACTGGTTTCCTGCAGGACAATAACCTTAGCGCTATTGTGTATCATGGATTGCGAAAAATTTCAAAAATTTACCGTTTTCGGTGGTTTTCCTTGAGCTTAAAAGCGCAAGACTGACACAGTGGTATTCTTGCATGAGCTTCTAAGAAGTATAAGTTGGATAAAAGAGATTTTTACAAAGACCCATCCTGTGAAATACTTAGATGATATAATATCGCAAGTTCCGAATTCGATGATTTTTGATCTTGCCTTCATTAATGCCATGGGACAGAAACCTTACGGCAGTGATGTCAGTTTGACAAAACTTTATTACATATTTATTTGACAATATTGATAGTACTCCACTAGTCAAATTTTCTATGTAAGTAACATGATTTAAAGTAGAAAATCTTCCAGTTCACTCTGAGTTAATGAATCAAAGGTGTTTTATGAAGAAAATCCCAGGAAATGAAGAGTATCGTGACCAGTGACGCCAAATTCCCTCTTCGTGTTAAGTATTTGGAATACTTTTCTCCAATATCAGTGCACTCCTTATTCTCAGGTCACATACAAGTATGGTTCTAAACGCTGAAGAAGGATAATCCTCTGGTCTTTTTCGTAACAGACAGTTGAGTAAAATTCATTTCAACGAAACCATTATCAGCAGAAATAAGGTGCTGCGTCACAACAACTTTGACTATTTTAGGTTAGAGTTCACCATGGAGTGACATCAGTTGAAGGAACATTGGAAACCTGGAAGCACTAGACAGCTATTTCGTCCTAGCATGGGACTCCTCGGCAGTGCATACCCATGACTGCTTACCGCCACGGATCGAACACAGAACCTTCAGGTTCCATGGCCAGCACGTTACAACTGAACCACTGGGTCAAAATCCTTACCTGAAAGCATAGAAAATAATTCTACACAAACGGAAGACATTTTTCTAGTCTTTTTTTCTCGGAATAGTAAATACGCATGTTGAAAACTGATAGAAAACGACTAAGAAAATTTTATTTTGACGAATCACTTTCAAAAGTTGTACATCGTAGTCATAGTCACAAGAAAATAAATATCCACCAATTGCAAGTGGGACAGTACGAAGTCATAAAGAACGGTGAATCAGTTCACAAGGTGATAACGACCAGAATGTCAACTCAGGGTCATTAAAAGTTGCTTATGAGATTACAGTAAAATAAACAAAGAAGTGAATATCCTATCTTACAAAGATTACAGCCAAGAGAGAATTAGAGAACGTAATGCTTGATTACTAGAGCTTCTGCTTTGTTGAAGTAGCGAATATGCACTCTCATGGAAACGTTTGCCTTCACTTTATAAATGACTTTGATAGAAGACTGTTGTGCAGCACAGATAATCGAATGCTCGAAAGACGAGTTGTTGATGGCTTCATACTGTCCTTTAGACAGCCATACAGGATGATGTTAAGAGATCTGTTTGGATAGAACACGTTTTGTGCGACCTACTTAACCAGCTCCACAACAACAGGTGAATTGGTAAACGTACATGGAGGTAGGTCAAAATGGTGTTTCATCCTTTGCACTCCCTGGAATCAACTGTTGGCTGCAGAAAACAATCTGAAGGTGAACGGAAAAAATCTTCAGTATCTGTGCCAATGTATCTCCCTTGAATCCAATATTCATCAACAGTATCTTTTTCAGAACTGTTGGAGGCTTTTTCTTTGAAATTCTTCGACTTCATTTTCCCGTCAATGAATCTTGAAGGATAATCATTCTCGATTAGGACTCCTCTAAGTATTTCCAATTCCTCATTTACTGCATCATCCTTACAAATTATGCTATTTCATGTACAGAGTGAATGAATTAGATTTCTTTTGCTGACTAGTGGAACTCAGGTTGGGTTAAAAACTTTTTGATAAATTAACCGTAACATTTTAAATGAAGTTATCAAGATTCATTTTCAAAGACAAAACAAAAAGATCCTTTACTTAACATCTATACATCTATCGATGAAAGTTTCTGTATAGGAATGTTTTAAGTTCTATTCATGAACATTTTACAATCAACTGAAAGTTAGAAATTCATTTAGGATGTACCAGTTAAGACCAGGTTTTAAAAGCTGTCTGTCAGCTTAGAAAAGTCTCTTTTTAAATCTTTAGCCTTTCATGAAGCATACGCTAACATTCCATTCATCTGCATTATTTGGATATGTGATCAACACCGCTGAAAACAAATCAATCGCCTAAAAGAACATTGTAAAGTAAATGCTACTCTAAATGGAATTGTAGATACATTTTTTTTCTAGGAAAACAGTGTGATCATGTTTACTGAATGTGTCGTAATTGTATTCAGACACAATAGTTGTAGTTATTCTGGAAAATGTGATAACATGTTATCCAACTAATGTAAATTTCAAGTTTTATTTCTAACATAAGGTTAAATGGTATTTATTTTCACATCATTCTTTCAAATGAGAACACATCACATATTTCTAAATTACCAGAGAATGAAAATCATCTTAAAAACACTGAGTATGCCCAATACAGTGAGAATTGAAAACTGAGTAGAACAAACCAAATTTAAAGTTCAATTCAGAGTTTTTCTCTCACTCTGTAAGTGGTTTGAGTTAACAATACACTTCTAATGAGAATATACACACAGCATACTTTAATTGTGTTGAAAAGAAGACTGAAACCATTGTGATAATACATAATTACAATAATTTAGTGAGTAGACGAAGTATGGTTTGACAAAAAATCACTAAAAACATCGAAAAAATCTATAGTAAGGGGTAAACAGCCGGATAGCTTGGGATGAGGAATTTGGCGAGACAAATCATTACTTAGTCACCATTAGGATAGAACCTGAGATTGCTGTGGAAGACCACAAGACGAAAAAAAAGGTTAAAGCAAATTATGAAATGAGATAAAAATGCCTCTGATGAACCTCTTAACTGTGTCATATGCATTCCGCAACTGTGTGCTTCAGTTGTCGCATAGATCTCAACGAATAAGCGTATAATTTCTCAGTACAATTGAGACAACCAGTTGGAGAATTCAATGAATGTTATTATGTTTAAGTTTAGATTCCTTAGCTTTTCTCGTTCCAACAATACTTTAGCGATTATAACGCTTGAGAATAGACGATTCAGTAAAAGTTTACAAATCTATTAACTGACTAACTTCATTCACCTAATGTTCTGTGTCTGAGTCCAGAAATAATAACATAGTGTTTCTCAATCAAGACCGCAACCGTGTGAAGGAAACAGTTTTCAAACATCAGAAGCCTTCTGATTTTTTGAACACTTGTTACCAGAGAGGGAATTGTTGGACATTAAAGTTACAGTTGGTTATCGCATGGTGGGCTGTCACCAAAAACTATTGCGTCTAGGCGAAATACTATCGAAACGTTAGTATCTCCTCCAACTAATATATAAAGAGTTTGGAATGAAATAAGATGGTAATAAGTCGTTTAAAAACAGCTGATAAATGACTGATAACTCATCAGAATCATGAAAGGTCAACCAATTGATTACCATTTATTGATATACTTGTAATTCTCCATTGTTTTATTGGATCGAATTTATTCGACCTCTATTGGTATATGGGCTCCTATGCGGATGCCTCGATATTACCTCAATGTTAATTGTGGTAATTTGGCTGGTTGTGGCTAGCTGAGGAATCCAGGAAGCATGTTTTGTCCTATCTGAGACTCGTCAGCTGGATATACCAGAACACCAAAGAGTGATGATTTTGCCACAATAGAGGACGAACAATTCGACCGAATAAAACAAAGGAGAATCACAAGTAAATCAATAAATAATAATAACTACTACCCTTTATACAAGAAGTGACCATCGTTCTTCCGTGGCCTAATGGAAAACGCCTTGGTATTTGGAGAGATGGGTACGATGTTCGAGTCTAAGTGGGAACAACATCACTCCACACTGGGGTTCGGGTACATACAGCTGACGAGTCCAAAATAGGACGAAACGTGTGTCTTGGATTTTTCTGCTAGCCACAGCCAACCAAATTAACAAACAATTTGTGTTGAAAAGTCGTATAACTTTAGAAATTTCCAAGTCTGACATTTCTTGTTCATCAGGCATCTTATGATCACGTAGTATTCTCTCCAAAAACACCGGAAAGGTAAGTTATAACTCCTTTTCACCAATATTTATCTAGTATTCACTAATAAAGGTGTTTGTAATTTGGAAATTACGTCAAGCTCCTGGGTTTGACTCCTAGCGAGATCATGGGTACACACTGCTCAGGAGTCCCATCCTAGAACGAACCAACTGTTCATCTGGTCTCATTGCTTACAGGCTTCGAAATGTGAATCTCCTAAAAGGTTATAACCAATTCGGACAACTAAGTCGAAATTTAGGACGGTTACTCAACGAAAG